ATGAGGGGGAAGGGGAGGTTAATGGACTGGACAAGGTAGACGTGTTTGAGACGGTGAAAGTAACAGACGCAATTGCTGGGGGGCAGATGATACACGAATGAGGTGTCTAATCAATGTCCATAATAAAGTGTGGGATGTAAAAAAAAAAAAAAGTATATATATACATATAAACATATACACATTTATGTTCGCACGTTTATACATATGTGCACAGCTTAAGCACACGCGATAACGCAAAACAACTGTTGGTCTGTTCTTCGTTTTGCAGAATAACTTTTACACGACCATTGCCCCTACACAATGTCGGGGAGCGGCGGGGAAAGCTTTTTCAATCTCCTCAGCATATGTACATGCGGGTACATATGCGTGCATTAAAAACGATTACACCTTATTTTATTTCATTTCATTTTATTTTATTTTTTTTTTTTCGAATGCAGCTTTGTTTAATATTGCTTCATTTTTATGATAGGTTATATGGTTATGCAAATACGGTTGATCAGTTTCTCCGACTTAATCTTTCTTTTTGGCTTGCTTATCTGATGAACCATTTGCGCAGCAACAGAATTTGTATATAACAAAAGCTGTAATGAATCCCATTGAAAATGACACAATGATAATGGCCATGAGGGAGGGGAAGGCATACTTGTAGATTCTATCAATATTTGAAAAGGTTTCATTTGCCATGTCTTTGAGAACATCAAAATAGCTAAGAGGTTTAGGTGGTTCTGAGGACTTTACATTTTTATATGTTTCCTGCACGAACATTTTAAAGGCTTCTAAAGACCTATCATGATTTTTATAATCATACATCTTTCCATTTTTAAAATATATGATTGTTGGAAAGCCTTCAATTTTAAATCTTTTTCTTGTCTTTGAATTTGTGGTGACGTCAATTTTAGCAACATTTATAGTTCCCTTCAACTCTGTGGCTAGCTGGGTCCAGGTCTTGGTCATGGCTTTACAGTGCGAGCACCAGGGGGCGTAAAACTTAATGAACCATGATCCTGTTTATGGGGAAAAGAAAAGAAGTGTGTATGAGGTTATTTTCATTGCAGGGGCATTAAAATGTGAAGAGGCGCACGTTTGAAATGGAAAAAAAAAGGAAGAGGGCATATTAACATGCGGTGTCAAATTGTTCGATTCACACAAAATAGAAGCCCCTCGAATGTGTTGCACAAATCGTGTGTCACAACGGGATCAGGTAGAGAGGGCGGAAAATAATAGCAACAAAAACATATGCAGCGGAAGGACACACAAAATTGCGCTCCGTTTTTGCTTGTTTCCTCCGTTCAGCCTCCCTTTGGGGATTTAAAAGCAGGGGCATGAGGACATCTCATGCGAGGATTCGCGAGAGGTATATAACCTGTGGTGTTCCCGGTTGATATCTGCGTTAAATTTTCAAAGTTTGAGTCATTCAATTCGATTACATCTTGGCAGTAGCATATTTTTAAAATTGTTAAAATAAGTAACAATACAAAACTTTTTGTAATTTTTGCCATTTTAAAATTTTCACAAAGTGGTAATTCGTCGTGGGCGTTATATTAAATTATAAGAATAGCGTAAAAGTACATGCATACATATAAAGCCTATGGTTAAGTACATATAAAAATATGTGGCCTCAGAGGGGAGCATGTGCTATATGTGTGTTCTTTCTGTTGTTGAAAAGGGAAAATGCAGCAGTTTGGTAAGGAAAAAATATATAAAATGAAGCAAAAAAAAAAAAAAAAAATGAAACAGCAATGTGCGGCAAAGTATCGAAACTCACGGCAAAATAATCTAGAGCGTCAGTCGGTAATTAAACTTCTCTGTAATATTACGCTTAGGAACGGGCGGGGGAAAATGCTGAAATTTTTGGCGCACGCTTTTTTATATACGTATAAAACATATACCTTGTACCGCTTAATCATTGCATACATATATGGGTGCGTAAGGATATTTTAAGCTTTTTATGTCTTACCGTATTTTAATAATTAGAGAGAAACATGTACCATTTGTATATTCTTTTTTAGCGAGTTCATTACTGCCACATTGTTATGTTGGTTGTACGGAAAAGTTTGGTTTTCCTTCTTACGCGCTGCGTTTATTTTGGTTTTTTTTTTTTTTTTATTCCCCCTTTGTTCATTTAATATTTAGGGAAATTTTCAACGAGTTTTTGGATATTTTTTTTTTTTTTTGCTTTCCAATTTTTGAATACTTTGTGCACAGAACCATTGCAATTTTACAAAAGAAAGAAATGGATATAAAAATGGTTTATTTGAAAGTATCCTTTTTTAAGCTATACTTTCTAATATAATTTTTATGGCATTATTCCATTTTGCTTGTTTTAACTTCAAAAAATGTGAACGGCACTTTATGAAAACGTTCATATGTTTTAAGAGAAAAAATGATATCGCAAATCGTGTGTTTATGAATAAATGTACATTTCTGTGCATACGGAAAGCAGCGTTTGTTTTGTACTTGTAAATAAACGAGCAAGTGACACGTAGGTGTTTCCTTGAAAGATGTATTACCATAAACAAAAATAAAAGTCTTACTTTTAAAAAGCGTCAAAAATGATTAAAAAGGAAAAGGGAGAAGTATGAAGTGCACATGTCGAAAGTAAGCAAATAAAAAAAATTTAGAGGCTTCAAAATTTCCTCTTAGGGATGGTTAAGAAAAAAAAAAAAAAAAAAATGGATACATGAACAATGAAATGAGTGTGTAAGGAAAATAAAATAAAGCTTAACTCCTTTTGAATTAAAAAGGAAAAATGGTTAAAATGAAGAATAAAAAATAATCCACACGTAATTAAAGAATTGGTGAAGTCCTCGCCCATTTTAACCGTTTAGCTAAACCTGATATAAGAAGGGGGGGATATTAAGTAGAAATATTTAAGTACCCGCATCAGGTGTGTCTGACGTGCGCAATGCTATAATGGTTTCCCTCACCATTCGACAACGGGTGAAACTATGCCTTTATAAATAAAAAAAATAAATAAATGCGTTTTGTTCCTCTACTCCTTGCTTATATAGTTAAAGAATTCTTCAAAAGCTAAGCGAAAATGTGCATATAATTGTAGGTGTGGTTGCATGTGTGTAACAGTATAAATGTGTCATACTTACATGCGCGTATGTAAGTCTACGTGTACACGATTTTGATATAAGCAACTGCCTGTGCAGGTCAGTTACGGGGGGCACATTTATATAAGGCTCAAAGAACCAATTAACGCGCAGCAATAGTTGGAAAAGGGGGTTTCTCTCA